GAAACTCTGTCTCAAAAAAAAAAAAAAAAAAAGAAAAATGTTTCAGTAAGTACTTCCTAAAAACATTTAGTAGGTTTTAGGACCTCAAAAATAATTTTCAGTTGGAAAAACACATTTTCTGAGGAAGAGAATATGTTCTAGTTTTCAAGACAATTTATATAGTAACAGGGAAAGTGGGAAAGTCATTCAAAAATTAAAATTTGGGTCCCAGATTAAGTTTTAGGAACAGAGCATTTCATTTAATCCCTAGCAACAAGTCTGGAAAGGATAAACGTATTCCTAACATGCATACTATGAACAGCTCTTCCAAGGCCAGAACAGAAGCTCCACTTAGAAGCTAGGATCACCACTACAAAATATTACCTCATGGGGGCTCCACATGGTCCACTCTGCCCAGAGCCTCACTTGAAATTCTGCTGATATCCATCCCATTGATAGCCAGAGCAATCCCAGGGAGCACTGAACTAATACTCTGTATAACCACTGTTTGGAGTGTTAGAGAACGAAGGGCGGTAACCGTCATATCCTCCTCTGAATCCATTGGCAGGGCCCTGGTATCCATTCATCAAGCCTCTAGCACCCCGGGAACCTCCACGAGACGCACCACAGCTATTGTATAGGGCTGACTACTTCATGGAAATCCAGTGTTCTGCTGAGGAGGCTGCTGGTGGTTACCAGTCACTTGATGAGACTGGTCCGGAAAACCATGCTAAGTGCCCACCACTATTTGAAGCTGTTCTTGGTGAAGCTCTGTTTGTTTTACTTGGTGAGGCTGATTAGAAAAGCTCTGGTTATAAACGGCCTGGTACTGATTTTGCTGTTTTAAAGTTTCTGGTTTATTAACAGGAGGAACTGGGGCATTCATATTGAACACTATTTGCATGGATTGGAATGGAGCTGCATTTACATTGATTCCACCGCTACGTAAGAGTTTGCTTGTCCCAGCCTGAAATACTTGAGGCTGAGAAGCAGCAGGAAGGGATGATGATGTTGTAGTCTGGTCTGTACTTAAAAAGATTGTTGCCTGAATCTGATCAATTGGTTCCTTCTGTGGTCGTTGCTCCGTAGCAGGAGAAGGCTGGTACAGGGGTTGAGATGCTATATACCCCTCACTTGTGGATGACACCAAAGGAACCTGTGTAGCTTCCGGTTGTACAGGAACTTGATTAGGCTGAGCAAGTTTAGATTCAGAATGAACTGGAGGGCAAACCAGCTGGGGCATGCCCATGTTTTGTGCTGGATTCACAGGCTGTGCAGATACAATGGCAGGATCAAGTGTCTGGTTTTCAAAATCCAGCACCGAATCCTGTATGAAATTATAGGGACCCTGCATTTGTGCCATAAGGTCTTGTACTCACTGTCTTCTCAGAAGGGGATCTGCTTGAGCCACTGGAGTCAAAGAGTGGGGCTCTGGTACTGAAGGGGATGAAGCCTGAGGCTGCTGCTGGAGCGAATTTACCACCTCAACTGTTTCAACTGTCCACTCATGTACCTGCTCCTTTCCACCACTGGTGAACTGTGTTTCTGCCATGAACTGTCTATTGACATACTCTGTTGATTCAACTTCATTTTGCTCAGTGTAGTCTTCCGCTGGTTCAGGTTGGGCTTCAGCTACCTGGTCTTCAACTGCTGAGGCTGCCTCTTCTTCCTCACACAACCCATTCTGATGGTTGTGGGTGCTGTCAAAGCAGTTTGACTGAAAAACACACTTGACAATGTCCTTTAGAACTTTATAGGTGGTTCCTTCCCTTCCAGCAGGTCCCACAGGTGAATGGACAAATGTTCATACTGCTCATTCAACCTCAAGCTCACGTCCTGTTTAGGGTCTTCTAACTTACAGAATTCATCCAACAATGACAATTCCTCTTCGGACAATATTGGCACTCCATTCAAACCTTGTTTCCGGTCAGTTCGCACTTCATCATCTCCCAATTGGTCCAAAACATACTGTAGCTCGAGTACAGTTTTTAAACGTTTCCGTTTTTGCTGCTTCTCTCATAAGCTGCTCCCAACGTGCTGTCTTCTTTACTGTTTCCTGAATATCTTGACTTATTGCCATGAAATTCCTCTGTAATTCTTTTGCAAACTCCAAATTATTTGTGACTTCCTGGTACTTAGAAACAGCATCCAGCTGATCTTGATTAAGCCTTTCCCCTTTGTTCATTCGTTCCTGGTAATCAAGCTTACCCTTTTTCTTCTCCAGGTTACAAAGTTTCTTGTCGATTACCCCGAGGATCTGCTTCATAGCCTCGGTCTGCACAGCGCCGGCGCCAGTTGCAGGGTGTTGAGAAGCCAGCATGGTGGCCCCAGCTCCCTTGGCCGCCTCACTCTTAGAGGAACCCGACGGCGGCAGCGGTCTGGACGACTTGCTGCCACGTCCGCTGTGGCAGGTGGCCTAGGGCATCGTCAGACCGCAAGAGGAGAGAAGAAAAAGCGGGAGGAAGGACAAGAGCGGCGAGTCAGGAGACGGACGAGACAACACGCGGGACAAAACGTGGCAGCAGGCCTGGCTATTTTATTTGTTTATTTATTGTACAGACAAGGTCTCACTATGTCACCCAGGCTGGTTTTGAACTCTTGGACTTAAGCGATCCTCCCAACCTGGCCTACCAAAGTGCTGGGATTATAGGAATAAGCCACCATGCCTGGCACATTTCATAAATATGATATGAAAGTGTATTAACATATTTTAAAGAAAAGAAAGAATAATATTAACCCAAAGCTGGCTGCCTTGAACATTTAGTGATTTTAAATGCCCACCTCCACTGGCAATGCATACATTTTGTTACAAACATCTGAAAGGCATGTTTCACTGGGCCCCTTCAAAATTTAGGGACACAGAGTGGGCTGGGTAGAAAGAAGCTTAAGGAATTTGAACTGGGCCCTAAAGTGGGATTAGGATAATGAAGCGAAGAAAGGAAAAAGTATACCCGAGGAAGCAGTAAACGGGAAGGGAACAGACTATTCATAGAGCCTTAAAGACAGAAATGAACACAACATTTACTGCACAATTACTCTGTGCCAGGTATACATTTTAGTACTTCATCTACACATTAGCTCAATCATGAAAGGGTATGAGGTGGGTAGTATTATCTCTATTTTACTAAGGAACAAAGACAGGCCCTATGAGGCAGTCATCCTGGAGCAGAGGGTTTCCGAAGCAGCCGTAGGTGAGACGGCTGGAACACAGAGAAACTAGGCCACTTTCTCTAAAAAAGAAAAAAAAAAACCTCAAGGTTTCAATTCACAGAGAAAAAAATTTACAAATCAGTAGGAATATTACATTTCTATATTATAAGAATATGTTTATACATATACACCCCAAAAAAGACATACACACCAAGATGGAAACTTACATTTTAATTACTTATAATTTTAGTTTATATAAACTATACATTTATATTTATAAATGAGCTTTAAAATGATTTAAACTGACTGTTCTCATTTCTGTAACTGTGTCTTATCACATAAGCAAAAGCCGTAACAAAACAAACGCCCCCAAAACAGGCCTGAAAATAATTTATAACATCATGTTACTCCAGTTCTTATTCAGAAAGTCCTAAAAGGGAAAAAAAAAAAATAACCAGAACCTTTAGTTAAAATTTTAAATTTTTTTCAACTATCTGCTTATTTGTACTAATAATAAGTAGTAATTGACACTAACTACTACTTTTCAAACCAGAGCACTAATTATGTCCTTTTCTGGAAGAATTCTTTTTTTTTTTTTTTTTTTTGAGACAGGCTCTGTTGCCCTGGCTGGAGTGCTGTGGTGGGATCAACACTCACTGCAGCCCAGCCTGGACCTCCTGGCTCCAGCAATCCTCCCATGTAGCTGGAACCACAGGTGCACTACCACACTCAGCTAATTTTATTTTTATTTATTTATTAATTTTTTTTTTTTTTTTGAGACAAGAGTTTCGCTCTTGTTGCTCTGGCTGGAGTGGAATGATGCAATCATGGCTCACCACAACCTCTGCCTCTTGGGTTCAAGCGATTCTCCTGCATCAGCCTCCCAAGTGGCTAGGGTTACAGCCATATGCCACCACAGCTGGCTAATTTTGTTTTTTTAATAGAGACGGGGATGGCCAAGCATAGTGGCTCATGCCTGTAATCTCAGCACTTTGGGAGGCTGAGGCGGGTGTATCACGAGGTCAGGAGTTCGAGACCAGCCTGACCAACATGGAGAAACTCCGTCTCTACTAAAAATACAAAAATTAGCCAGTTGTGGTGGCACATGCCTGTAATCCCAGCTACTCGGGAGGCTGAGGCAAGAGAATTGCTTGAATCCAGGAGGCAGAGGTTGCAGTGAACTGAGATTGTGCCATTGCACTCCAGTCTGGGCAACAGAGCAAGACCCCCCGCAAAAAAAATAGGGACGGGGTTTCTCCATGTGGCCCAGGCTGGTCTCGAACTCCCGACCTCATGATCTATCTGCCTCAGCCTCCCAAAATGCTGGGATTATAGATGTGAGCCACTGCGCCTGGCCAATTTAAATTTTTTATTTTGTAGAGGTGGGGTCTTGCTATGTTGTTCAGGCTAGTCTCAAACTCCTGGGCTCCAGCAAGCCTGCCACCTCAGTCTCCCAAAGTGCTGGGATTACAGTCATGAGCATTACACCTGGCAAAGAATTCTTGTCATAAGAATTTGTCTTCTATCTTTACAGCAACCACACCCACATGAATGGAAGTAATTCATCAACCATCTTGCAGCACCAACCCTCAAGTGATGATAGCTGATCAGAAAGGAGAAGTAGCTTCCAAAAAGATATTGTCCTTTTGCTGGTGGCGTGCCTCACAAGATTTATCTCACAAAGCTTACCATGACTTCCCTGAAGCCACTGAGATGAAATCTGACTCAGGAAGTCAAAGAGGTTAGCCAAGTAACAGGGCACTGGGGGTAGGAAAAAAAACACACACACACATTAAAAAACTGGGGCCAGATACAGTGGCTCACGCCTGTAATTCCAGGATTTTGGGAGGTCGAGGTGGGTGGATTGCTTGAGCTCAGGAGTTCGAGACCTGGCAACATGACAAAACCCTGTCTGTACAAAAAATACAAAAAAAATAGCCAGGCATACTGGCACACATCTGTAGTCCCAGCTACTTGGGAGGCTGATGTAGGAGGACTGCCAGAGCCCAAGAGGCCGAGGCTGCAGTGACCCAAGATTGGCTGCACTCCAGCCTTGGTGACACAGGGAGACCCTGTCTCAAATAAATAATTAATTAATTAAATACTTGTGGTTAAACGCCACTCTTCCTTTCATCCTACTCGGATATGTTTCTAAAATAGGTCCTGAAATTGACTAGTCATATTAAACATTTTTGACTGGTATTTTAATGTCTAACATACTTGTCAAGATTCCAGCAGTAATTGGTCCCACGATGCCCATCAACAGGATGCTTACAGACATGAACCTACCATATTTGTGATGTCTGAGGGTGAAGAGGGCCAGTAATCCAGCGGGGACATGAAAGAAGAGAGAAGACACCAGTGCCCACAGGAACACACCATACCACATCTCTGTGAGGGAAGGCAAAGAAAGGTGGTGAATCACTGCCTTTCCCATGACAATCATTGCAGAGGGTACTCTTCAGAACCAGGGATTTCATTTTCAACACCATTTCTTTCCTTTTTTTTTTGAATAATTGTTATTTTTAAAGACAGGGTCTCTGTCACCCAGGCTGCAGTGAAGTGGCACCATCATGGCTCACTGCAGCTGGGACCTTGCAGGCTGGGTGTTCTTCCACCTCAGCCTCTGGAGTAGCTGGAACTACAGGCATGTGCTACCATGCCTGGCTAAATTTTTCTTTCTTTTTTTCTTTAGAGATGGGGGGGAGTCTCATCATGATCCCAGACTGGTCTTGAACTCCTCAGCTCAAACCATCCGCCCACCTCAGCCTCCCAAAGGGCAGGGATTACAGGCACTGCACCCCACCTTCAGCACCATTTAGTTGCAAAGTAGGGTTCATCATTGATGGTTTTAGAGGGCTCAACAAACTACTGCCCACAGGCCACCACCTGCTTTTACATAGACTTATCTGAACGTATTCATAATACTTTTATATATACACGCTTATCTGAAATCATTTATAAGAGTTTTGTATACACACACTTATTCAACCCATCCCTTTTTTTTTTTTCAAAAGACAGGGTTTCACCATCTTGGCCAGGCTGGTCTGGAACTCTTGACCTGGTGATCCACCCGCCTCAGCCTCCCAAAGTGCTGGAATTACAGGCATGAGCCACCATGCCCAGCTGCCCTTTCATTTAAGTATTGTTTATGGCTGCTTTCCAGCTTCAAGGGCAAAGCTGATAACAGTGACACAGACCACATGGCCCATAAAACCTAAAATATTTACTATCTGGCCCCTCACAGAAAAAGCTGATCAACCCTATACCCTCAAACTGAAAAAAGAAAAAAAAAAAAAGTTCAAAATTGACCTAAATCATGTCCCCCACCATAGCTGGGCATGATGGCTCACAATTACAATCCACACTTTGGGTGGCCAAGGTGGGCAGGTCGCTTGAGCCCAGGAGTTCAAGACTAGCTTGGGCAATACAGTAAAACCCCACCTCTACAAAAAATACAAAAATTAGTCAGGTGTGGCTATAGCACACATGTAGTCCCAGCTACTCCAGACACTGAGGTGGGAGGATTGCTTGAACCTGGGAGGCAGAGGCTGCAGTGAGCTGAGATCATGCTACTGCGCTCCTGCCAGGGCAACAGAGTAAGACAGTCTCAAAAATCCCCCCCAGAAAACCAAAACACCCAAACCAACAAAAATAATTCCCCCATAATAGGCACAACCCCAAGTACCAATTGGTAGGGTCAACATTCCAGAAGTAATTGTAAACTTTGCAAGCAATCCCTGCTGGCTCTTTCTTGACCTTTTGCTCACTCACTCTTCTAAACTGGAAAGCTATACAATTATATTCATTCCACAATCACTTCAAAGACAATGCAGTAAACATCAATCCATCACCTCCTATTAGGATTTCAAAGCTCTTTAAGGCTATGAAATAAATACAAAAAAAAAAAAATAGAAATGTTTGAAGACAAATGGCAGGTAAACAACCATACAGGTTAGGAGAGCTGGCCTCCTACAGAGCTCTAATCACTCCTAAGGTGTCTGTCATTCAGGCAACATTAAGGTATACATAATCATCAACTATGTATGAAAAACTATCCATGAGTCACCCTGGAAAATATAAAGGAAACAAAACCATCTAGTTGGAATGTGGTGACTTTACAATTTGTTAAATGGCCCATGTGGCATTTCACCCCACTCCCCTACTCTTAGAATCCTCAAGATAGCTCTCTAGCTAACCTTAGGTAGGGATTGGTGGTGACACATTAGATAAAACCCACTGTCCATCCTTGGCTAGAGGCAGGTAAGTAGCAACTGATTTTTGAGATCAGTGAAGAGCTTAGCTCAGCAGGGTTTCTTGACAACCGCCCTCCGCCACCCTATCGACATTTGGACCAGATGACTTTTCATTGTGGGGGCTGCACTGTGCACTGTAGGATATGGAGAGGCACTTCCTGCCAGCAGTACTCTCTTCCCAGTCTTGTCAACCAAAAATACTTCCAGATATTGTCAAATGTCCCTGGGGGTGGGAGGTGCAAAACTACCCTGATTAAAAATCACGGGCTTTACCAAAGTGCAGAGGCTTTATAAGAGTAGTAACAGTTAAAGCTATAAAGACAGATGAGGGACAACTTACAGGGAGTTTGACAGCAGACTAAGTGTTAGGGATAAACTGCCTTAGAAAACCCCCTCTGTGCTAGCTGGCCCCTTCCCCCAACTCTGCTTGCTCTGCAGCTGCATTCCTGAACTCCTGGCTAGGCCCCATATCAAGGCTGCCAGACCTGCTACAATTAAGCAAAGCCTCATTACAGTCATCCGGGCAGCTCGGAGAAGGTCAAGGAAAACAAATGTTTGTTATCCATACCTGTAAATTCCTGTAAAATCCTGTTTTCTAAACTGCTGCCAGAAAAGTCACAGGATGATGTATTCTAAATCTGTCACAAGTCAACAAACCATCTCTGTGCCTGTTACAAGCTGATAAGATCACCTCAGACCTGAAACTCCCTTACAGCCCTCTTACCCCATATAAACCCCTCATTTTGTAAGCTTGGGGCTGCCTCCTCTGACAGTTACAGAGCAGCCAGGCAGGGTAATAAAACTTGCTTACCAGACTTTGGGTCTATTCTTTCTCTCGGCTGACCTTACACTAAGGACTTAACAAAAGATCTGGAAGTGTCAATGTAGGTTTTTAGCAGTAAAGGGTTGTCACGGCATTAGTCCACAGGGCCCCCTGACACTCCTAGCTGGAATACAAACTGGAAAACCACTTATCTGCAGGGTAATTTGTAAGTCAAACATGCATAGCCTTTGCTGCAATAATTTTACTTCCAGGGATACACCCTACAGAAAAGCACAGATAGGCAAGGACAGAGGTAACAAGAGAGTCTCAAGAGCATTGTCTGTAACAGCAAAAACTAGAGTCAACCACATAGCTATCACTGCAAGACTTGGAAAACACATTCTGTGCATCCGCGTAATAGAATACTACACAGTGCCATTAAAATATGCAATAGATGTATATATATTGAAGGTGCAAGATGCCCAAGCCACACCGTGAAGTGACAAAAGTCAAGCTGCTTGTAGAATAAGAAAGCAAACACAATAAACATACATGTGGAAATGCTTCTGTGTACTATGTTTTTTTTTTTTTTT